CAAATACAGCTTTATTCCCTTGATGTCAATCCAGAACTAAACTTTATTCATTTACAATCTACCCATGATTCTTCTCGCTCCCACACATAAAATCGGCTGCTTTACTTGTGCACAATGTTGCTCACTCTACAGTTTCTAGTTATATGAGTAGTAAAACCGAAAATTCTTCATACTAAATATTCGTTGGCATCACCTTCACAGTTTAGCTATAAAAAACCCAAAACCGCCGATTGATAGAACTTTTTACGCTGATTTCAGTGATACCAAATTAATTTGGCGCACTTAAAAAAAAAGAAGATATAAGAGGTTTATTTGCTTTGTTTGTTTATATTTTTTATTATCACTAAATTCTTGAAACCCAAAAGTAGATCATGATAAAATATGAAAATCGAATAAAAGATAATAACTGACACTTCTAAATAGCATAACTTTCATTGCCATTAATTATACAGTTTTTTTTCAAAAAAGGTTATTTCATGAAGAAGTAACATTTTTTCGTTTCTTTAGTGGTTTTGGTTTGGAAATATAAAAAAGCATATAAATATAATATATGGTGACGTCATCAGTATTTTAATCGGTTATGTAATTCATACGATATTAATATTTAAATTATAAAAATATTTTTATTCAACGTTCTAGAACGTCTTTATTTTTTACTAGCGCCGAATAATTTTGGCATAGTTGAAATGAGCGTAAAATGTTCTACTGATCTGCATTTTTCGTTTTTGCATAGCTGAACGGTCGATATTCTATATTTGTTTCAGGAAATGACAATTATAAATGTATATTTTTACGTATTGTTTAGTATTTCCAACACACAAAACACCAAATATATTGCAAATTCACATAAAATTAATAATACACATTTTACTTCTAATTGTATACTTTGCGTATTTTTATACCTTTCATGAGCATGGTATTATAACTTTGGTCCGATGTTTGTAAGTACCAGAACAAAAAGAGATAGACCCATGAAAATGTATACTTATATGATCAGAACGTCGAGCTGAGTTGATTTAGCCATGTCCGTCTGTCCGTCTGTCCGTCTGTCCGTCTGTCTGTCTGTCTGTCTGTTTGTATGCAATCTAGTCTCTCAGTTTTCGAGATATCCGGATCAAATTTGGTAGGTGGGTGTATTTTTATAATGTATTAATCATTTGTCGGAACCGGAAGAATCGGACCACTATAACATATAGCTCCCATACAACTGATTGTTCAGATATGAGATTTTTCATTATAACTTCTCCATTTATGTAGCTACGAACATGAAATTTTGCAATACTTGCACCCATTATCAACAGAATACTTACAGTGAAAATTACAAAGATCGGGTCACTATAACCTATAGCTCCCATACAACTGATTGTTCAGATATAAAATTTTGCGTTATAACTCCTCCATTTATATAGCTAGGAACATGAAATTCCGCACTGTTTTCAATAATTATCAACAGAAAACTTACAGTGAAAATTAAAAAGATCGGGTAACTATAACCTATAGCTCCCATACAACTGATTGATCAGATATGAGATTTTTCGTTATAATTCATCCATTTATGTAGCTAGGACCATGAAATTTCGCGCTGTTTTCACTCATTATCAACAGAAGACTTACAGCGAAAATAACAAAGATCGGGTCACTATAACCTGCAGCCCCCATACAACTGATTGTTCAGATATGAGGTCTTTTATCATAACTCCTCCATTTATGCAGCTAGGAACATGAAATTTCGCACCATTTTCACTCATTATTAACAGAATACTTGCAGTGAAAACAACAAGGATCGGATGACTACTTCTTCCATACATCTGATTGTTCAGATATGGGATTTTACTGTAAAACTCCTTTATTTGAACAGCTAAAACCGATAAATTTCGTAAGAAATTTTATAAATAATAATACAAAGTCTACTGAGAAAATCGTCAAAATCTATGCTGTATAAGCTTTATCTCCTATAGCACTGATGGTTAAGATACCAGTTTTTGCCATATATCTCCTTTATGTACGAAACTAAACCCAATAAATTGTGTTACCGGTTTACATACCGATCACATAGCAGTGAAAATCACTTAGATTGGTGTCATATAAAGTATATCTTCCATACCTCTGATTGTTTAGATGCGATTTTTTATATAAGTATGTAACTCCTCTATCGATGTATGCAGATGTATTCAAAAGCAGTAATCTGTCAAAGTAAAATTTGCAGATGTTCATGAAAGGTATGAAGCCTTCGGCATAGCCGAAGACAGCGCTGCTCTTACTTGGTTTAAGTACCTTTCTGCTACCGTTTTCGCAAAAGACGATCACATTCTTCCCCTTTCTCCTACTTCCAAAATACAAATCTAGATAAAGGAGTGTCAAATTTGAGCTGTCACAAATTACATAACCTTGTGTTATTGGATTATGCAATCTACCCTACCCAGCAAGAACGACCTAACGCCCAGCAAGAACGACCTAGCGCATGCTCCAATACACTTACAAAATTGTCAATAAAAACCAACACATTCCCAGCTAGAACGACCTAATGCATTCACTAATACATATGCATAACCACCAGCTGTCGGCCAATACTATTACACGCAATTTTTCTATTCCCGATGTGTGCCAAAAGGGGAAGCGCTATGTCTCGCTTGGCATAAATGTCAATATGTATATCGTATTCACTCTTTCTTATATTATTGCTGTCATCACTATCAAAAATTTCGGCATGTGACTGAAAATACACTAAAAGTGTGGTTTCCAAGCCATGTACTAAGTGATTAGCATCCTTCAACTTGTCAACTAACGGGAAATTCCCCGATTTGCAGGGAATTTCGGTTTAAGTAGCAATCGGGGAATGGGCATTTTGTCGGGGAACTGGGTATGTTATTTTTATATCTTAAAGTAACCAAATTACACGAATATGTCAATTTTTAACCATTTTACCCTTTTTGGAGCGATATTTTTTCTTTTTGAATCGGAATATCTCCACAACAAGAGTTTTCCCAGATATAAGCTACATACCAGATGAAAGCTAAGATTTGTGGAAACTTAGAATAAAATCGACGGACCAGTTTTTGAGAAAATTACCGAAATGTATATTTTCAGCAGCCCGATTTTTAGTTATCAGGCGATAACGTTATGACATATTTATATTTTATAAACACAAAAGATAACGTTAGATAGCTTGTTTGAAAACCCTTCTACTGGTATCCACATCAATGACGTGGACTGGGTAGTGCGGCCTCAGTGGTAGTTTAAAAAATTGTTTTTTTTTCGAATTTCAGGCAGCGGTCACGACCACAAAGGCATACAAATCAAAAAATCCTGAAACAAAACCTTCTTATTTTTTTTTTGTTCTTTAATTCCTGAAAGTCTGAAAAAAATTAAATGAAGGTACGTACAGACGCCACATACATACCAAAGCATCTCGTAGTGGAGACACGAACCAAAACACATTTACCTCTATATCTTTCCAACTAGTAGCCGGTACTTAAAAGGTATTGGCCTATAGAATAACACTAAATATGTTGGGTGTACCCACATGCCCCCTTAAACCAAAAAAGCTAAAAAACTTTTGTTTCGCAGCACTTTAGCCTAATTTTTAAGAGTCCGGTTAATCGTTTATGAAGCTTGTATACATTTTCTGGACACACTCTGCAAGATCTTTCCAACGATATCTCAAACATGTCGATTGGACGTCTAGACAAAAACTTCCAAATCTCGTGTATATATAAGCGAGTCATTTCAGCATGCTACTGTGGCTGCTTTCGTCACTCGCGCGCACTGCCGTGCGCTGTGGCTGTGATTATCCCTTTCAAACCTAGCCATACAGCTATTTTCCAGAATCTCATTATGAAGATGTCGTAAAACAAACTAAAATGTATGTATTGGCAAAGCGTGGTCAGGAGGTGCGTTATGTATCAGCCGATATAAAAAGATTCTACGGATGTGCGATTATAATGGGGTGTCTTGGTTACCCTGCTATAAGAATGTACTGGTCGAATGAATGCAGGATTCCTGCTATATTTATTTCCATGTCTCGTGACAAATTCCTCCAACTTCGATCAGACATACACTTTGAAGACTTCTCTGTTCCAGACACGGCAAATAAACTTTGCAGAGTTGAATCAATTATCGAGACGGTAAGAAAGCGATGCAATGAATTGGCAACTGAAATTACGAACTACTCAATTCATGAACAAATGATAACATTTACTGGAAGATACACTGCTCGGCAAGTTATCAGATCAAAACCGCGACCTGTTGGCTTGAAAAATCTTGTTTGTGCTACATCTTCGGGTACCGTAGTGAATTTTGAAGTTTTTCAAGGGGCTGGAATATTTGAAGATTGTGGTCTTGGGCATGGACCATCTTAAGTAATGAGACTAATAATAAAACCTACCAAAAGGCAGTCAAATATATTTCGACAGGTTTATCACTACGGTTCCACTCATAGAATCGTTGTACGAAATGGGCTTTGCTGCAACGGGCACAATAATGGCAAACAGAATACCTAAATGTGTTAAATTTCCTCTGGACAAAGATATGAACCGAGGCGATATCTGTCAATTCACAAATAATAATAACGTAGCGGTTGTGAAATGGAAGGACACAAAAGCAGTTATAGTTGCTTCAAGCAAGTGTGGCAAAGATCCTGTAGGTGAAGTTGACAGATGGAATAGAAATCTAAAACGCCGATGTCCCGTTCAAATACCTGCGTTCATGGGTGGGGTTGATTTGTGTGATCAGATGCTTGAATATTATAGGATTAAATGAAAACAAAGAAATGGACCGTCAAAGTGTTTTTCCACTTTCTTGATCTGGCAATATATAATCAGACACAACTTTACTCATTTGGACTTAAGGGGTATCATTGGGTAAAGTTCAAAACCAGCATCACAAATTTCATTATGATTCCGTTCTGAAACTATCTGAAACAACTTAGCTTAATGCGTTTTGATAATTAATTATAATGAATATTAATAAAAATGTTTCATTCATTCAAGTGCTGACTTTTTTCAAAGAAAAATGGAAGATATAATTTATTTTGATGACGAATCCCAGGTTAAGGAGGTTTCAAATGGGCAATCCCAACAATGGCCGCAAACCTCGTTTCATACATCGGAAGGTAAAGATAATACATTTTTTTCATTCATTGTTTCCCATTTTATTGTATATTTATTTTCAGTGCATACATATTCGCTCCCTACCCGGAAAACTTTTGTGACCACGCCCTTTAAAAAAAGGCAACTTGTTTAAACAGCGACAGACAGATGAACAAGAGGAAAACAACAAAAACGCAGGTATTAAATCCTAATTTAAACTGATTGTAGCAACTCATTTAATATATTCTTTGTTTTACAGCTTCCATCAACATCACTGAACAAATCATTAAAAACCAGCAAGAAATATTGGCTAGGCTCGACCATTTGGAAAATTCATTTGATAAAAATGTATGTATGTATAAACTTTATATCTCGTCGCTTAGCGCGCAATACCTCGTATCCGCCAAATGCAATACCACGTATAAAATGCTCATACCGACGTAATATACACAGATTTCAGTAAAGCTTTTGACAAAGTATGTCACTCGTTACTCATCCGTAAACTCGACCTAATTGGCTTTCAGCCCAGTCTTATTCAGTGGATCTCATCTTACCTCTCTGATAGAACACAAAGAGCTATTGTTAATAATTGTTCTTCCAACATCATTAAAGTTTCTTCAGGAGTTCCTCAGGGCAGCCACCTTGGTCCAATTCTGTTCCTGATATTTATTAATGATATTTCTTCTATAATAAAACATTCACAAATTCTAATGTATGCCGATGATGTGAAACTTTTTAAAACATTGTCCTCTATCGAAGAAGGGACTTTGTTACAAGCGGATCTGAACAACGTGGTTAGTTGGTGTAATGCAAACTATATGCCACTAAACCTTCAAAAATGTAAAGTTATGTGTTTCTCTCGGAGGGCTGTTCAACCAGCTCTTTATTCAATATCAAATTATAATCTGAAGCAGGTATCCAATTTTATCGATCTTGGTATCACAATGGATTCCAAACTCAATTTCAACCATCATATTAATGTTACAGTCAATAAAGCCAAAGGCATTTTTGCATTTGTAAGGCGATGGTCAAAAGAGTCATTTAAGTCATTGCTTTATTAATTATTCTTTTCACTAAAGACTAAAGAAAGGGTAAAGACTTTCCAGCGGTGCCGCAAATATGTTATGAATTCTATTTCTAAAACTTATTCTTAAGTATCCCAGTCTTTATGTAAATATAGAATGTATGTACATACCAGAGAGCAGCTTTGAGTATGATCGAACCTTTTTGATCACCCTCACTAAAAATCGAGCACAAGCGAACGCCACACTCGGCTAATATGTGTTCGATCGAGATGCACACCCGACAGCTGCTTTGAGTACGAAAGAGTGTGTTCGCTCGCTATAATCGAGCACAAGCGAACACCACACTCGGACACCCGCAGCTAACCCGAAAATTTGTGTAACAATGAAACGGACACCCGAACATTGCGATAAAATGCAGTACAACAATGAAATTTACGCTGAAGGTAACTGGCGCCAATATGTTCCAACAAACCATACGAAACTGTTGTTGCTTTGTGCTTGTGCATACGCAATGAAAAAAATTAGAAGCGAAGTAGACAAAAATGTTTGTGCATTTATTTCGTATAGTTTTGAGTGGAATGCTGTGTGTGTATATGTATATAATAGAACACACAGCCTAAAACTATGTAGGTACATAAGTACTTTTACTTTGCGTTTACTGGACAAGGTGTAGCTGCCACTCACAATATTGTCACAAACAGAATGTTCATTTTCGATCATTATTTCTATTAATAATTATGTACGTAAGCAAGTAAACAAGAAACTTAGCAGTACACAAAAAAAATTAGACTACTGCGCAGCCGATCACAAACTACACTAATGCCGATTTTGTTTCTACCGAAAAATGCAACCTTCTCTTTGCCCTCTACGCACAAACACTAAGAACAGCGCGATGAGAAGGCAACATTTTTTGTAGAAACGAAAACGCCATAAGCCAATCAAGACAAGTAAGAAAGTCTAAGTTCGGGCGGAGCCGAACATTAAATACCCGGCGCAAGTATTAAATATATGTTTTTTCACCTTTCCGAAAGCTACCGCTAGATGGTAAACCGGGGTGTACCAATTTTGAGTAGCGTCCTTAAATTTCGAAATATTGCAGTTTCAAGCATTTCTGAAATTTACCGTTATATGAAAAGCGGCCGTAATTTTAGCCTGGATTCAATAATTTTTAATAATTGGCTTTTATGTGGCAAGCACAATAACCGTACCGAGTTTGGTACAAATTGGTATAACGGTTACCGATATACGTATATGTTATCATAAGTGGGCGATGCCACGCCCATTTTCCAAAATTTTACCATAAACATATTTCTTGGTAAAGAATTGTTGCAAGCATCAATTTTGAATAAATTAGCGTTAATAGTTACTGATTTATCGAAGATTTTGTATTTCTCTAAATTACCGTTATATGGGATGTGGGCGTGGTTATTTTCCGATTTTTTAAATTTTCGGCCATTTAGTATGCTGTACCAAGGCCAACAACTGTGCCAAGTTTGGAAGAAATTGGTGCAGCGGTTACCAAGATATGCACATGTAACCATAAGTGGGCGTAGCTACGCCCATTTTCCAAAAATTTAGAATATTCTTATTTTTCGTCTGAAAATTATTACAAATATCAATTCTGAGCGAATACTCTTCAGTAGTTACTAAGATATCGCAGTTTTCGTATTTCTGAAAATTACCGTTATATGTGATGTGGGCGTGGTTATCGTCCGATTTTTTTAATTTTCGGCCATTTAGTATGCTGTATCAAGGCCAACAACTTTGCCAAGTTTGGAAGAAATCTGTGCATCGGTTACCAAGATATACGCATGTAACCATAAGTGGGCGTAGCTACGCCCATTTTCCAAAAATTTATAATATTCTTATTTTTCGTCTGAAAATTATTACAAATATCAATTTTGAGTGAATCATCTTCAGTAGTTACTAAAATATCGCAGTTTTCGTATTTCTGGAAATTACCGTTATATGGGAAGTGGGCGTGGTTACTGTCCGATTTCGCCCATTTTCAATACCAACCTACCTTGGATTAACAGAAACCTACATACCAAATTTCGTTGAGATATCTCAATTTTTGCTCGAGTTATCGTGTACACGGACGGACGGGCAGACGGACGGACAGACAGACATGGCTTAATCGATTTCTCTATTTATTCTGAGCATATATGTATACATTTGTCTATATCTATCTCGATTCGTTTTGGCTGTTACAAACAACCGTTATGTGAACAAAATTAATGTACCCTTGTGCACAAGTGCGCTCGGGTATAAAAATTTTGTGCACACTCGGATTGAAACTCAAACACCCGGGTATATTGAGCTGCAAAGCACCCGAACCCAATCGGGTGTTGTGGCCAACATGTTCGTCTTGAGCTCAGTCGCTAACGAACAATACTTCTGCTCGTATACAGAGAATGATGCAAAACGGGTTTTGTTAGATGATCGGGTATACACGAATATTATGCACCCGCTGCAGATATCTGGTACATATGTAGATATAAGTGCATATACATATTTATGTATAGCATCCCAACAAGCATTTCTGTATTTTTAAACGTATCTTAAAGCAAGCTTGCTATATTAACAGCGTTTTTAGTATTAAGTTTGTTTTAAGTTTTTCAAATGGAGCTTTTATAAGTGCTTTGGCGAATATTTATAAATCACTAAACCTTAAAACTAAGCTGCAAATGTTTACGACAAAAGCCAGAAGAAATAATTTTATTAAATTTCTTATAAATTTATATTCACGCGCTTATAAACAAGGTGCCGTTTCCATTATATTACGCTTTTTTTAAGCGTTTTAAAAACCAAGAGTAATCGTTTTGTAAAGCAGCATTTACATGAGGCGATTTTGTAAGCGATTCAATATCGCTTAAAGAGTTTAATCGCTTAGAAAATCACCTAATGTAAATGCTGCTTAAGCTGTATGTTTATTTTAGTAAACTTACAAAAATAATCCCCTTTAGTTTATTTTGCTTGTTGGGATATAAACCCAAAATTTAATTTCATCCAGTAATTTATAACACAATTCAATTATAAATTTAAATGATTAATAAAGCCTTTGAACTTTTATCAATTAATTAAACTATTTAAATCTATTTTAAAATATTTAACCGTGTTTTTATTTATGCAATATTATAGCTTTTCAGTATAATGGATAAAACATGTTATTTACACGTTATTATTATGCCATACTAATACGGAATTTCTTCCCGTAAATAACATGTTTTATATCGCTTTGCTATGGCAGATTGGAATTTGATAGCAATACGAAAATACCATAGTAAAAGGTAGTGCGCAAGAAAGGGAAAAATGCTCACATGCACAGCACTGAGTGCGTGAGGTTTCTCCAGGAGCCCTATGTAAAATGATGGAATGTTTTTAAATTTTTCACACAAACTTTTTGTAGTACTACGCGTATATAACGCATTAGTTAACAGATAGTGTTCTTACTGGGTTGCGGTTTGTACCCAGCAACAACGACCTAACGCATTCTCCAATACACTTACAAAATTGTCAATAAAAACCAACACATTTGCATAGTAGCGATATCCATATGCTATTCTTTACGTTATATAACACGTTATTAATCGCATAACAATATTTGATTGAAAAGAGACAACTACATATAGTATAGTATAATAGCGAATTCCGTGTGAAAGAAAGAGAAAACTACTCACACTTCAATCGATTATGCGTTAGATTTCTCCAGGAGCCCTATGTAAAATGATGCAAAGTTTTTGAATTTCTCACACAAACTTTTTGTAGTACTAGGCGTATATAACGCATTAGATACTAGAGAGATTCTTACTGGGTAGCTACTCGCCCGATCTGGCTGACTTCCCTACAAGACAGCTGAGTATCATCCCTAAAGAATTGTGTGATGGAAACTAATACTAGGTTCACATAGTAGATTATCCTCATTTTCGAACACCCTAATCTGTAATTATAACAAGAGATTAGCCATATAAAATTCGTCCCTTGTTAATCAGTAATTATAAAATAATCTCAGATTTAACCGATAACTTTTCGGTGTCCATCTAGTGTCTAGTTTTATCGATTGTTTTTGCGAAAAAGAGGAGAAATTCCAAATCTAAAAGTAAACAAAAATTTACGCTCGAAATAAAAGAGGTTTGTAAAGGTATTTTTAATAAAATGTTAAGTTAAAATATATTTATATTGCTTATTATAGCAGAAAAACGTGATCACGGTGGCACAAAGAAGAAACATAACTTTTCCTTGAGATGTGAGAATAACAAGCACAACTAATTTGACGGCTAATAACCTGAGATTTTCCTGTGTAAACGGGGTGATTAAAAAGCGAGGTTTGATTGAGATTATATTGATATGTGAACATAGTTTTACACATTCTCATTTATCTTACTAACACATTTGCAAATTTTGCGTTGG